ACCATGGTTAGACCCAGGAAGTTATTTAGATGAATAGTTGACTAACCAAGGAATGCTAAGCTCATTATTAAAAGGCCATTTTAAACAAAAACACTCTAGTTTTTCTACTGCTGCTGTTCCTGCTTGACCCTGTGTCATGAGACAGAGGATGGTGACAGATACAGGCATAGTGGTGGCAGCAGCATGAGCAGCTGCTGTCACAGAGGCGATGGCAGGAGACAGGAGTTTGAGTGTTTCAAATTACTATATGTAGACTTTTTCCAAAGTGCTTAATCCTTCAGGTCCTTTTAGCTACTACCAGATTCTCCTGGGGGATATTGGAAGAGCTGTAACAGTTCAAGGACTTTGCCTGCCTATAGTGACAGGCAAAACTGTAAAACGGAACCTGAAAATACCTGCTCAGCCCACTGCATGCAGAGATGACAAGTGTCAGCAGTGCTCACCAGCAGCCTGATAAGAGTAGTGGTTCTCAACCTAATGTGGTCTCTTTGATCACGTACTTAGCAATCCTAAAATGAAATTTCACTTCAGCCTAATTTCTACTGCTATTTTCCATCTTGATAACATGGGTAGAGTAAGTTCTGTGTAAATTGATAATCTGCCCCTCAGGCCGGTCCTTTGTTTGTGCTCTGTAAGCCCTTATGTGAAGCTTTTGTTTCCTACAGATGTTGATTGTATTGCATCACATTAAAAGGAAATGATCTCTGCTTCAGCTGAGATGAGGCTCACTTTCAACATGTTTTTATACCATTTCCACACAATGACTTCTCTTGATTTCAGGACAAGAAAATTAAGATATGTGGAGCCAGACACATTTATGTACAGTTGTCTGAGCATGAGTGTGTAACTAATACTTCTTTGTCTTTCAGTGAAAACAGATTGAATTTCTGTTTCTGCTTTTGGCAGGGAAAGAAATTGGAGGGAAAGAAATTATGTCATGAAGAGCTTTAATTCCTTTGAGTGATCTGAAAAGCAGTATAAATTTCTAGATGATAGATGGCAAAGAGATATCCAGATGACACTGAATCATTCAAAAAAATAGACCGCATGATTATATCTCACCCCCACATACCTGCTCAGAAATGAAGCTGAAGACAGTGGTATATGGTTGAAGAGATAGAACTGACAAAATACATAGTGGCTGAACCCTGAGGGGGTTACAAAAACAGAAGTGCAGGCTGAATGAAGGAAGCTTTTTTTAAAATTCTTAAATGCACTTCATTTTCATCAGAAATTCCTGTATTTTGTTCCAACTCTTTACCTAGCAACATGGTGTTCTGACAGCAGCTAAACCTTGGAAGGGTTTTCAATCCTCAAGAAGAAGAATGTAATTTCCTTTATTGATTTGGCTTTTAAATGAAATCATGACAAATGGGCACTATATGCTCTCTTGCTAACAGTGCAGAGCTGGCCAGGGGACTGTCAAGCAGCCTAGGTAGCTTCTGGGTGTCTGGGAGCTCAGCAGCCTCACGCTCCAGTGCTGCCCCTTCTGTCACTTGTACTGTCTCACAGGGTGAATGGCAAAAGCAGGCTGTGCTTAGTTCTTCACCAGCTGGTAAACCTGTAGTAACTTTCAGCTGTTGGTCCTTGTACAAATCCTAATCTTGCTCCCCTTGAGGGAAGAATCTGCCTGTCCCTCCATTAGGAGAAATTTATGCCGCTGTGTTATTAGCTTTCCTCCTCCCTCGTACTTTATGCTAAAGAGATAATAGAGTTCTGTATTATGAAATCTTCTTCCATTATTTATCAAACCAACCACATGCTGGCATGACTTTGCTTTTTCTTGTAGTAAGTCTTCCAAGCCAAAATCTAATAAATAGTTTTTGCACAAATACTATTGTATCCAGTGCTCTGTATCACTGGAGTGCACTCCTTGTAAAGCGTGTGCTCTATGTGTGGGCCTATGTACTTAACAAGTGCGTATAAGGTGTGTGTAGGTACACTAAGAATTTCAAGGATAAACAAATTGCTGTGAATGAGTCATAGAATCATAGAATCAAGCAGGTTGGAAAAGACCTCCAAGATCATCAAGTCCAACCCTTGATCCAGCACTGCCGTGGTTACCAGACCATGGCACTAAGTGTCACATCTAGTCATTCGTAAGTGTTCAAAGGTGAACACTTGTGAATATTCCATATATACAACTCTCTTATATAATGAGATGTGCAGCAATCCCGGCATATGACAGATACTGAATATTCATGTGAAGTAACTTAATCATAAGGGCCTGTTCAATGAACATCCTGGTATCATTGAATGCCACTGATTTTGATTTAAGTGAGCTGTCTAGACAGTGGAGGGCCTAAATATCCTGATGGATTTGGGATTCGAAATTTAATTGCCAGGTTCCTGGGTATGTCTTTAAAAAATAGATTGACATTATTTAGGTCAAAACATAGATAAGTTATTTTTACATTTTAACTATGATACTTTTTTTGTACTTTGTATTAAGAATTTTATATTGAAATGTCAATAATGATATGGATTCGTAGCTGCCTGCAAAATGAGGTAAAACAAAAATCCAGGTTATCTTGAATTCAAGTGTTACAACACTTAATTTTTGACATTGATTGTACAAGCACAGAATCCATAACCCAGATTTAGAACACAGACATATAAGCCAGTTTCTGCATGAACTTAGATCTTGGTGAAAGAGACACTGCAGAATAAATTTAGACATATCTGAAGAGCATTTTAAAGCAGCAGGAGTGCAGACCAGTATATGAGCACCTACTTTGAATGAGCTGAGAGAGAGAGCTGGAATGAAAGTTAACCCATTGTCATGGAATCAGAGCTGTGGGAGCTTGGATCTGTGCACTTGGAGCATGTATTTCTGTGCCATCCGCTGAAGCTGTGTACCTTTGGTCTGTGTTTTAAAAAAGTGCACTCTTCTTCATAAATTGACTAAAAGTGAAGTTAGTGGAATCATCTTTGATGTACCAGCTTGGTGGTCTGAGCTTTAGTTTAGTAAGTGAAATAGCACCAGGTTCGTCTGGAGATAATTCATCCCTCATCCACCACCTGCTGCAGGAGCGTGCGCAGCAAGAAATGAAGGCACTTTCTGGTACAACCATTGATGCTGTGTCCTCCTGGCAAGGCAAATTCAAAAGACCACAAGTGGAAAAATATATCCTGGTGTGTTTTGATAAAGGCATCCCTTAGGAGCAAGTCCTGTGCCTCAATAGCCTCCAGATGCCTGTTTATGTGCATTCCAAGAAATGGTCATGGGACGTGGGTTTCCCCAAAAGAGGAAAAATAAGTGCTAGGAATGTTGTGACTCTATAAGTTTAGATACTTGGAGAATTTGAAATTCAAACTGGGAGTTGATTGATGGAGGCCATTCCTTCCAGGATTATGTGTGTTTTTACTAGGACCTCCAGTTGCCCACCTAAATCATGCAGCTTTATGCTTCATGACCCTTTCGAAAGCTTTAAAAGCTGATGCTGGTCTTTGAAGGTGAATCTAAAAATCTCGAAGTCCTGGGAAGCCTTTGGAATGAAATGTTAAAGCCTCCAATTTCAAGGCTTTAAAATAAAAATGCTATATTGATACCAAACTAAAGTAAAATTAAAAATTATTACTCCTCATGACTTTCCTGTATAGCAGAACTCACCGTTAAAAAGTGGGTTTGACTTCTGGTAGCTACTTCAGAATTTCTAGCAGTAAGAAACAATATGGTCAGTACTTAGTTTTCAGATTAGAATCTCTTTAAAGTTATTCAATGATATGTTTTCTAAGACAGGCAACCTTGTAAGAGAGAAGTTTATGAATAGATTACATTTACCAAACCACAGGAGCGTTGCAGATTGTTGAAGTATTTAGAGCTAGGTTCTACTACTTAACTATTTCTTATTTTCTTTTTACTGGTTTTGTCACTTCTCTGGTTCAGAGTAGAAAAATTGATAATATGAAACCTTACACTGGGGTGTCAATTAATTGGAACTTTTCATTTTCAATACTTTTAATTCTAGTAACATAGAAAATATTCCAAATTCAGAGCCTTAGATCTTCTTATCAGAAAGTATATACTTCTCAGTAATAGGTGTCAGAATTTGAAATCGTTTGTGTGCTGAGGGAATATGCACTGGAAATAATCAACTAAACTGGTTTTGGCCTTGTGAAATCAGTCTGTCATTGAAATGCATTTCAAAACATGTAGGGATGTTTCACCAATGTGGCTGACAACATTGTTGGTACTGATATGTTCTGCAATCTCTTTGCTGAGTACTAGCACATGTATCCAGATTTCATGCTCTGGAATTAGAATACCAATCATTTCTGTTCAAAAGGGAAAAGGTAAGGGAAGGATTGAAAGTAAACCCCTCTTTAGCATAATTAGGGAGCTGAGCTGTGTAATAGTATAATAATGTGTGATATGTGTAATAATAATAACTTGTAAAATGTTCCATTCTCTCCTAGACCACTTCTTTCTCTATACTAGAGTGCCATGTCACATCTTCCCTAGGTTTACTGTAAGTCTCTTTTCCCTAGTTATTTGTTATTGAAGTTAATTTAACTTCAGAGAAAAGAATTATTCAGAGGTAAAAAGTCCTCATTTTGCCATGTTTTCTCTTAGCCTCAAAATCTCCATCTTCTGTTGTTCTGGAAATAAAAATCCTCTGTCATCCAAGCAACCACACATGGTGCTCTGCGGTGGGTATGATTTACTCTGCTGGCTGGTGCAGAGCACTCTGGTGCTCACAGGTCATGGTGTAACGAGTGTTGTGGTGGAGGTCAAGAGCCATCTGGTCCTGTGATTATGACTGTGGGTGCAAGGATATCCTCTGGTCAGATTAAAATGCATTAAAAGGTATTTGTAGTGTAGGGGAAGCCCTTGATAAAGCCAGACCCCAGCTTCTGAGAGAAAGTGTTAGTGTGATGTGCATTTTTACTTATCAGGGTGTATTAAGGTCTCCTGATCACAGAGACAGGTGGGATGAGAGAGCACACTCCTGATACCCAAAAAGGTGGATAAAAAAGAAAACTGCTTAAAGGTAGAATTTTGAGCCCATAAAGAGCAGGTATTTATTGCGACCTCGGGATAGCTTCCAGCTCAGGCTGGACAAAAAGCTCCAAAGTAGTTCAGTAAAAACAAGCAATTCATACAGTTTCTAATCATGATTACAACATGCATATTCATATTATTGCATTATTAGATTACAATATTCATAGCAGGTGGAGTCAGGGTGGAGATTGAGGCATGGTCTCTATTTTGAGGAATAAATTAGGGTAGTTCTGGTCTTGCCTTCATCCTGGGGTGGCAAATCTACTCCTCGTCGTCGGGTGACCTCGGGGACCTTCTGTTCTATCCCTTGTTCTCGTGTTCTAACCGTTCAGGCTTGAAGAAACCCTTGGCTCTAGGCCTACTTTACCGATTCAAATGTCTACCTTGGCTCCTCTGGATGAGATTTATGTGTGTTGAGTTCTTTGTCTAGTGTTTGTTGTGGTTCCTTTAAGGTCTAATGCCCTTAGTACAGGACATAGCCTTCCTGTAAAAGTACAGCTTACAGTAAACGAAATACAGGGGGTAAGGGGGGCTCTTGTGGGTTTACAGTAAAAGTGTTTTGATTAACCCTTCCTGTTTCACTCCCCTGAAGAGATGACGTATAAGCAGTACTTTGCGTAAGGGACAATATTTGGACAGACATTTGCCTTAAAAGAAAACCAACCCAAACAAACAACCAAAAAGGACAAACAAAAAGCTTCTGCACATGTTAAAAAAGGACTTCTGAGTTACCCATAGCAGAAAAGGAAGAATTGCTTAAAGGTGGTGGGGGAAGGAAACTGCCTCCCAAAATTCATCGTAGGTGGTGTGGGCATCTGCTCTAATGCCGCTGCTCTTGCAGCCTCTCCAGGCAACAATGCTTAGAAACCACAGTAGGTTGGTGAGAGCAGCTGCCAGGGGTAAAAACTTCCCATCCAAGCTGTAACCTAATGCACCCAGTACCATAAAATACGCTGGCGTGAATAATTTCAGTACATCACTTTGTTGCTATTGATTTGCTTTCATTGGATGGATGCAGCCAGATTAAATGTGAGAATGAGTGAGGAGAGCTACAAGTAATGACCTGCAGAATTATCCAGCAGTTGAACTTGCTGTACAAGTGCCAGATTTTGATCAAAGCATGTCTTTGTATGATTGGAGTGTAAGGAAGTTTTTTCAGATGATTTGAACAGAAGGTCTTGTTATTTTTGCTTGAATGTAAATACATGGATTATTTCCTTTAAGAAGAACAGACTGTTATGTTTATGGTTTTTTTGTCTGTGTGCTGGAAGACAAGATCTTACATAAATAATGGTCAAAGTAAGCCAATTTTTATCTCTGTACTACCTTGAAATTCTGTGTGTTTGTCATGAAAACAAACCCAGCTGTATATGTGTTATATTTATTGCCTTGCATAGTTGTGAAGATGACCTCTCCTGAAAACCCCTCCTTGCTAAGTAATTAAAAATTGACTCACTAGCTCATCCTTTTTGAAAACATCTTTGAAGCTCATCTCCAAATTTAATGAGCCTGACTTCAAACTAATTCAAGATTTAACAGCTACTTTTACTTTTGAGAATTGTCAACAGCAGCCCTGGATAGACTGTTGGCTCATTTAGAAAGCAGTATAAATCCTTTCAGTCTTTGGAAAACTCTGTTCTCTCCAAAGCCATGGCAACGCAGGATGTGAGTTTGCAGCTGGACCACACCTCTGATTGTCATTGCTGTTCCAGTTGTGTTTAGAACCTTCTGGTTTACACTGATTTTTGAAGTTTCAGCCTTTTGCCTGCTAGTATATATCCACATCCATGCCTGCAATTTGCCCAAGAGCTTTCCATGGGATTAGTGCACAGGAGAAACAAAAATAAAAATTAACCGCTCTGCTTGTGCCCATCTTGGTAATGTGCAGCTTCTTCCATATTTACAGATACATGAGGAGGATGCATGCATACACTTCCTAATGTTTGTTTTTCCTCTCAGGTTGCCTTAGATGAAGTGATGTGATATGATGCAAAAACTTCAATGACAGTGTCCTAAAGGAAAAAGAAATCAAAGAGAATCAGGCAAATGGAAAAGGTAGGGTTTTTTCCTGGTTTAACAAAACTGACACTGGAGGGATTTCAGCTTTACTGTGATATTATTAGCCCCTGTTAACACACTAAATTTTCACAGATCAACCCTGAGACTGATACAAGCCTAGCCTAATATGCTGATCAGTTCATTATTTTAAGTGCCTCTGTACCTTCAGCTGAAACACAGCCTGTAAGTAGATATTGACCCTCATCCAAAAATAAGCTTCTATTTTAACAACATGCAGTTCCCACCTCTTTGGGTTCCTCCTCTGAGTGTATGTATGGTAAGTTAGATGTGTGAAATGCAAAAACCACTGAGTGTTACAGCATGGGGATAACATTCTGCAGCATCTTAAAACCCAAGATGTCATTTGTCAGTGTAGAGGAAGCCCAGTTATGTCATTTTTATTTACCTCATTGCACAGGCAAGGCTGGCAGGGTAAGCTGGAGAAAGTAGCACAACCTGCTTACCTGTGCATTTTACCCATTTCTGGTTACCCACTACTGGAGACAGAAGACAGGAGTGGATGGGTTTAGGATCTAATGGAGTATAGTTATTCTAATGTGCTTGTGCTCAGATGATTGCAAATGTCACAATAAACTGTAATCCTTTTTTCATCTTTGCTTCTGTATAAATTGGTGTTACTAACTTTCTCTTATAGCTCTACACTGAAATTAAATATTAAATAATGGAGTATATAACTCAGTATATAGAGAGATGAAGATTGGTACCATTTACTCTAGCTGTCCCATATTGTTATTAAGATTGTCGTATTTAAAAATATGAAATAGGCTTTAGTTGGTTCTTTTTAGGTTGATTTTTTTCTATTATTTTACTTATTTTCTGCCTAATTTTATATGTGTGGCTCAAATGGTCTAAACTCAGAATGAACTTAGTTGATCCAAAACTAGATGTGCAAGGCTGTGTGTGTGTTTGAACAATATCCTGACTATATTGTGGTTTTTCTGCTGGTCTGGAAGCAAATTCACTTCTGCAAATTCAGTGCTTTGCTTCCTCTCTGCTGTGTGTGCCTAGTCTGCGGGCCTTTCCTTTAAATTAGACTGGCAGAAACAGAATCTTTAACAGGGTCTGTGAAGTCTTTTCTTCTCCTCCTTGTCCAAAGTAAACTTTACTTGGGATAGGATTTTAATTTTATTCATTTTAGAGACTAAAATTCTTTTGGTTCTTTCCTTAAGAAAAAAAAGAGTGTCTTCAAGTGTTACAGTGGTGAATGTTGAAAGCATTATAACAGCTAAACCCAGATACTGTGACTCCATAATTTATATCGCAGTAAAATAAGAGTCCCTTCTGTAAAAGCACGTTTGTTTTCCTTGGTACCAGCAAAATAGCCTTTCCTTATACAGACTTAAGCAGTTCCACAGTTGCCTTCGTAAAAATATTACTCTGTTCTTTCTGACTGGAATTAAATGTTTGTCTTAAGTAAATTGTAAAGTGGATAGTTGCAGGATTTCTTCCAGGCAATTTGCTTCCATTATATATAGAAGAATCACATGCTAATTTGTATTTTTTATATAAACATGTAAAGTAGTCTTGCAGCAGTCAGACTGCTTGTTCAAAATACGATTCCCTCTTGCATTAAGATTCCTGCTGCTGAAGAGCCAGCTGAAAGGAAAAGCTTAGGCAGAGCATGAGGGCAGGAGGCTTCAGAAAGCAGAAAAAACTTCTCTTATTTTTTTCAATAAATGCATTGATTGTCTTTTCTGACAGAAGAGCCAAATGCATTTCACAGAATAAAACTTGCACTTGAGTTCACCTCAGAAAAAGAAGAGATTGCATGATTTAAAGCTAACAGGGAACTCACTCCATAGCTACAAATGCTCTCTTAGGTGAAGATGCTGCCTTGGGAGGAAAAATGGACTCTGTCTTGGCCCAAGCTTTACTGGTAGCTGCCGCTGCCCCAGTGCCTTTGTCACATCCTTCAGTCTCCTGCAGGGTTTGTATGTGTACTGGATGCTGTGCTAATGAACTTCTTTAGAATGCTTGGGTTCCATGAGTTGTTTGGCAGTCTATAACCAGGGCAATTGAAAGATTCAGATCTTTAATCAGAAGGAAAGAACCCTTCAGAAGAGGCATCTTAAGTGAAAAAGAACTTTAGGGTCATGACTTATTATCTACTTTGTGCCAAGAAAATCTGACAAATTAGAACTGAAAGTGATGGGGATTACTTCAATTTTTACTCTTTTTTTATTATTATTATTCCTTTCAGGAACAAAATGCACTATTTGTTCCATGCATTGAAAGTGCACATATACAGTATGCTCTGGGTGGTAACAAAAAGGCTGCAAATGACATTTTACCAGATACCCTGTCTCTTTGGATCTTTTCCCCAATCCAGACCCTCATGTGTTCATTAAAAGGAAATTTCATTGTGTGAATCTAACAGAATTTCTTAAGTCCAATTGATGCACTATTTACACAAAATATTCCTCCCAAAATTACATGAATTCCAGCAAGACAATTGAGTCTTTATTGTCTCTGGTCTTGAAATCAAGTGGGCTGTTTTTAATCAAGCTTCATGTTGAATCTAATAATTTTATAATTCACTCATCAACAAAATTTTCAATAGGCTGTGATAGAAAGACTGACAGCCTACACAGATCAAAGAAGATCATATAAATGGCCTTTTTAAACTTCGAACTGTAAAGACAATAAGCTCTGCGTTACTGTCCGAGCTGGTGTTCAAGCATTACAAAATTTGCCTTGTTTTGTATGAGTAACAGGTTTTGCTGGGGTTTTGTTCTTATGTTTTAAATAAATGAGTAGAATATTGCCTGTTTTTCCTTATCATCAAGGAGATTTTAGCTTCACTTTGTTTTCATGTATTATGAGTTGTCATCCTTTACAAATAATGAAACAAACAAATTTCTTTTGGTTTTTGGAGTTCCACGAGTTTTCTTATACTTGGGTATCCTACTTAAGTCCTCCTAAACCTCAAATGAGAATGAAAAGTATCTGAGTTATACCAAGACGGTGACCAGTTCAAGGTTCAAAAACAAGACAAGAACCTATGCACCATGTCACCGCTGTGTGTTCCGTTCACAGTATCTTCTCTTTTTCCTTGAGAGTATGAAAAAACCCCACCCTTCTTGAACAGAAGGCAGAATCACAGATTATCTGTTCTTCCTCAATTTTTTCCCTGTAGTTCTTCACAGAATTTGAAGAAAACTTATTTCTGAACTAAAAGCAAATTGACTAACCTAAAATGTCAATGCACTTTCCACCAATGACTTTAAATAGTGAAATTATGCAGAGATTTCTCAGTATTTACCCACCCAAACTAGTAAATGCTAGAAATGCCAGCAATAATGCCAGTTCTTGTCCTATTTACTTTCTATATTTGAAATCCTGTATAACCTTTGGTGTGAAACCTTTCTGAAAACTGATGGAATCTGAGTTTAGCTTCCTTTTTCTCAGTGTTCTTTATGTTTCCCTGTGCTCTTCCAGCCTGGTTAATTTATCTGAAGGTATGATTCAAATAATTTTTGCTCATGCAGAAGTTTAATTTCTGCTCAGCTATTCAAGATCATTTACGCTATATTTATTCATAAAGAGAAGTAACAACACCAAACAGAGGACTACTACTTTACAGTAGTGTGATTATTTTACCAAAGGGTAAAATACTCCCTCTTTCTCCCCTTTCCTCAGTAGACATGGGCTTAATTAAGAGTAAAGAATCCAGGGGTTCTACTCTTTCATCTTTAAGTGTTTTTTCTTAAAGTTTGACATTTGTAAACTGGATTCATATTTTCTTATTTCCTAAGAAAAGACTCAGGCAATAGTGATCCTAAAGGGTCATAAATATATTTGCTTTTTACATTAGTTTTATTCAGATCTCATCTAGATAAAGGTTATGATCTTTATTAAAAATTTAGATAATTTAAAATATAATGGGTTTTGTCATTGGTTATATGATCTGATGTTTTCATAAACTGATACAATATTTCAAATTTTCATCAGAAACACCCTTTTTTTGTTGTTGTTATTACAACGTGTCCTCAGTTGCCTGCGTATGGTAGTGGGATAGCACAATGAATTTAAATAATGATCTGCTGCCAGAAAAATGAATTATTGTGTCCAGCAGACAGCTGCTAAAAGTCTCTATAACATTTTAATATGTCTGAGGAGAGAACCATGAAACAATTCCCATGCCTGGCAAACTCTTTCTTTATCTCTCAAACTTTCACTTCCAGTTGTTGCCTTTTGCTCAGAGCAAAAGGTTCCGAGCAAAAGGCAAATCTTTAAGATTCTCTGTTCGGGTATTTGTGAAGTCCCTTGTATGTGTGAGAAAAAACACTGTTGGCTTCAGATTTCTTTCATTTTAACCTTATTTGGGTGTCTTACTGTTCTGTAAGCAGTGATTTTAAAAAATCCACTCTGACTGGAGGTAAACTGAAATATATAAGTGTATTTCCTGATCCTTCATTATATCTGCAGAGGATTAAACTGTGGAATATCTGAACTGAATATATTTCTGTTACAACTACTATAAATAAAGATAGAAGAAGAAAAGAGAAAAGAGAAGTAAAGAATAGAGAGAAAAGAAGACAAAAGAAAAAAAAGAAGAGAAGAAAAAAGACGAGAGAAGAAAAAAGAGAAGAAAAAAAGAAAAGATGAGAGAAGAAAAAAGAAAAGAGAAGAAAAAAAGAAGAGAAGAAAAGAAAACAGAAAAAAGAAGAAAAGAAAAAAGAAGAAAATAGAAAAGAAAAAAGAAGAGAAAAGTAAAAAGAAGAAAGAAAAAAGAAAGGAAAAAAAAAGAAAGGAAAAAGAAAAAAGAAAAGAAAAAAGAAAGCAAAAAAAAGGAACAAAGAAAAAATAAAAAAAGAAGAAAAGAAAAGAAAAAAGAAAACAGGAGAAAAGCAAAAAGAAGAAAGGAAAAAAGAAAATAGAAAAAAGAAAAACAAAGAAAAGAAAAAAGAAAAAGGAAGAAAAGTATGATGGTTTGGACCTGGCTCCCTGCCAAATGCCCCAACTCACAGTAACAACCCCTTCCCCCTCCCTTATTTTTCTTAGGGCAAAGGAAAAAAACCTATAAAAATTGAAGAACCTGAAATCAAACTAGTTATATACAAATATATTTTACGTATATTATGGTTACATACAATTAAAATGCTATGTACACAGCAAAGGGAATCCAAATACTCCCCGAAGGGAAAGGGAAAGGGGAAAAAGGGACACAGAACAGATATACACAATCGAACCCAAGAACTAGCAAAATAACTAGCAAAACAAATCTCACCATGTCCATCAGAAAAGCAAGATCGCCAGACACGTCCAGCACTCTCCAATCTCCCACGTGGCAGACTAGCGGTCACTGCAGGCCTCAGCCTCTAGATAAGCGAGACCAACTCAAGGACCCACTGCTCCTGAACTGAAGTTCTGTAGATACTTCGTGACCTTGATGTTCTTCATGAAAAATTGCAGGTCAATGCATTCATTCAGGTTCAAATTTTTCTTTAATGAAAAATCACTCTATTTTTTTAATGGGACTTAAGCTACAGAAACACGAATCAATGTTTTCTATTGAGAAGTCTGTGTAAAACCATTAGCACACTTCAGATTTGTGTACATTTGTGTGAATATATTGTGTTGTACCACTTTTCCCTCCAATTATTTTCCACGTTTGTTGGTCTAGATTATATGCTTTTCAGAGGAGTTTCATTTCCTTCCAAGCTATGTGTTTTTGCACTGCCTAAACTAAAAAACTTCCTGTTCTAGCTCAGAGATAATATTTTATTCAGTAAAAGTGATATATATAAAATGGAAAGAAGGAATAATTTATGCTAAGCCCACAGGATTGTGTATAACCTGGGGAAGATGTTCAAAGGGTGATTCTCAGGCTCTGCAGATCTTGCTTTGCTTAGTGCAGTAGAATGCTGCTGGGTTCATTCCTTCATTTTAAAAAGGCTGACTTACAAATTGCTGTTCTCTGAAATCAGCTTCTTGTTAATGCCACACATAGATGGAGCTGCTGTTATTTACCCAATATATTGTCTTATAAAGAATAATAACAAAATTATGTATACCTTATGTAGAGATTAGATGTTCAGAACTGGTGTGGTGCAAGTCTGTTCCTCTCCTGTTATCGCAAGTCTGAGACCTGAATTTATCATAGACAGCGTTACATACTCCATTGAGAACAGCTGACTGAGAGCCTTCTGCAGAGCCCTGTGCAATGAATAGGAGGATCTGGATCATGCCTGGATGCTTCTGTGTTTCCTGGCTGACTGTTCATACAGCCTGTGTCTTCTAAGGTAGGTAACTTGTGGTGGCTGGGGTGGGATGAATGTGGGTCTGAAAGCTTTGTACTTGGACCAAGAAGAGAGAAAATACTGGTGAGTGGAAGAGCTTTGTGCAGCCCTTATTCCCTAATGTAGGATCAGGAACAGAGACACTGGGTTTGAGATACCATGTGCATTGGGGGTTCATCCATGTGTCAAAGGTGTGTGTTTACAGTGTCATACCTCAGGTACAGGTTCACATCACAGAACGTGGGATCTGATGGCAGTAGATGTCCTGTTCGTGGTTTGTCAGGATATCAGCAGCTGAAAGACAAAAGTTATTTTATTTTTCTGGTTGAAAGGCACAGATATGAAAGAGCTCATACAACTACTTTATTAGCCTCTCTTGTATCCTCAAACATCTCTGTTCTACACAGAGTAATAATATACCCATATTGAGATCAGAACTTGATTCTCAAACTCATTAGGCAAGATGATGTGTATAAGGAAGGAGAGTGATCCTAGTCAGATAACAAATACAGGAGAATTATACCAAATACTGTTTCAGAAGTGTTTTAGATAGAAAACTATATCATAATATATTACGCATGTAATATGTAAAACAAAAAACTTTATTCCACTAAGTCGCAGTGGGAATGTCTTTTGACTGGAGCTCTGGGTGTCATGGTGCCATGCTTACTGCTGACCTCCAACCAGCATCCTAAAAATCAGGCCAGGAACCATGATGAACACTATTTTTCAGAGTAGTTTTTTTCTCTCCAGATTAAGAGTTTCAAAAAAGAAAGTGTGTGTGCAAATGCACAGCACCTCTCTTGCTGTTCTCGTTTTCCTGAACTGAATGTTTTTCAGTCATTGTGTCTTAAGGTTTTCTAAAGATTTTCTTGTTCTATTTTTTCAGGAATAAAAACCCACCAAAACTCCCACTTTTTTTTCAGCTGTGCTCAGCTACTGAGAAATATACAGAATCTTCCATCGCTAATCTTTCAGCATTATTTATTCGTAGCCCCTTCCAATACTTTCCAGAGTCATTAATGCTCTGTTTTGTAGCCAAATTGCATTTCAAATCAATGAGCTTTTTGCCTCTGGGTGGATGGAAGATGGTTGCTTTAGTCAGTGTGCTGCTGAAGATGTGGATGCTCTCCTTGAAGCCAGTCTGACCAATACAGAATTGGATTAAATCCTGCTGCTAACGGTACTCATTAGAATAAAACTACAGGCTTTTTCTGAGGGTGTTATTTACATTCTTTATAAAACTTCACTTGGCTGAAACTTTGTTTGCTAGATCCTAAAAAGTGTTGTGTATCCTCACAAGGGTACGATTTTTTGAAGTAACGTATTTAAATATACAGTATGAAAACACCTGTGTAGACATCATGAAAACTTTTTGTATACATCAAACTGGTAGGAGAAGCAAAATTATGCATTTGATTTACAGAAAGGAAAAAAAAAACCCAAAGCAGTTCCCGAGGCAATGGTATGAGAATATTTTAACAGCCCTAGACCCTGCAGGGGGTTATAACTAGGAAGCATAATGCAAAATTTTTTTTCCCTCCTCTGATCAACAGCTCCTCTGCTGTCTCAGGTTTCCCTGTCAGCCAGCCTCCTTTGTGGGTAGCTGGACATTGCTCTTCAGCCTTGCTCTGCCTCCCGAAGTTGTGCATGCAAAGCACCACAAGAATAAGATGGGTAAAAGGGCTGAGTGGGTGACAGTGTGAACTGTTTGTCTTGATTTTAAAAATAACTCCGTTATGTGCAAAGTCTTGCCTATGGTACTCATAAGGCCAGTGTGTTGTGTGTATGTTGAACCTATTTTGTGCAAGACAGATAGTTGGATTTCCAACAAACATCTTTTTCCAGAACGCATTGTTTCCTGCTAGTTCATGGGCTGAAGGATGGAATATCTTCAAAGTAAAATTTTGCTGCTGATGCACAGCATACCAGGATTTTTAGACACAGAGTTACTTGTGTCTTCTATGTTTTCTGTAGAAGACATAATATTTAACACTGTCTGTCTTCATAACCATCAGCTAGTACCTTGTGAACCTTCCTTACACAACATTACAGCATACATTTTTGAAGTAAGTCAACCTCTGAAAATGGACGTAATGCCAGAATTATGGATGTTCGTACCACAGCAGAGAGACTTCCACCTCCACTTTCTCAGTTTGGCAGGAGAAGTATTCCCTAATTTGCTTGGTGTGATGAAAGCTGCCTTCTTCAGTCTTCTGAAACCAGTGTCTGTTAAAGAGCAAAGTATGCTATGGGGTTTGGGATTCGGTAGTGACATGAGCCTGTTGTTTTGGAATTATTTCCATTTTAAGCAGCTGTAATTATTGTTCAGTGTTTGTCTGGTACCAGCATTTCACAAATGCTGTGACAACTGGCAATGGTGAATCATTTTTTTCTTCACGAGCCCAGCCTCATGAGCAGTCACATCTTGGGAGGTCTCGTAACCTGACTGATGTTAGACTGAATAAGTATAGATTTGCTGCACCCAGTACTGATAAGGGCATCTAAAATCCCTGGCTGTTTTAAATTGCACCTCATTTCTACTAGGGATGGAGAATTTAATGAAATTGTTTAGCAGATGAAGCATTATCGAGATCCCTTTAGATAAAAAAAATGACTTTAGCTAATACTGCTCTTCTGAGATGGAAGGGAGCAAGTATATCAAAAAGCATCATGTTTAATCTCATCATTTGCTTTCATGAGTTATTAGGTGAAGCTATTTAAATGGAGAACATGTACATAACAGATGAGTAATTCACTCAAGTATGTTATTTAGTTTCTGAGAGGCACTGTTACTTATGATCCTGACCAAAATGATGGATGCACTCAAATGAGTTAAGCTGAAGCCACTGTTACATGAATCAACTACCAAAATCCACATGCACTGGAAATGGGGGAAATGTGTAGAATGTGAAAACTACTGTGTGTTTGAAAATATGCAAATAATCTTATGAGCATGTTTTTCTGTAGCACTGCAAGAGCCTTTTTGGTGTTAGAGAGAAAATATAACTTCCTTGGAACAGTTGGGAAACATGACAGAGTACTTGGGTATTTTTTAAAGCTACAAAATCCACTCTTTCGATTTGGCAAATGTGAAATTTCTGCCATTATTTTTGCACCAAATCTGGCAACTTAGTGCATCACTCTAGCCTGGCCTGCATCTCTGTCTCCCGTCAGTGACAAATAGGAGATGGTGACTCATGGCAGCAGAGGATAAATGTGAGCTGTATGAGAGGACGGTATGGACATGCCCACAGCTGAGCTCAGCATATGTAACCGTGGAGTGTACACAAACCTTGTCTGCACAATGATGGATGCAGGTTATTAAAGCAAGCCATTAGTAGAAGCTGCCATGTTTGATTAATTTAATAACAGACTGAGCAAAACATATGGGAGTGTGTGTGAAGATTTTGACTGAGGCTGTGTATACATAGTATGGCTTTGACAGTCTGAAATCTATTCATACTTTGATTAAAATGATCTGTGGAGCAGGTGAGGAATACATCAGAACATCTCTTACAGGAGAAACACCACCACAATGTATATAAAGCAACTGTGATTCAGTTTATTTTCCATTTTTTAGATGCTCTTATATTGATACGAAAATAAAATCTTTACAGGTTTGTATATTCATTTTAACATAATACTTCCCTTCTCCTCCCTTGCATTTGTAGCACCTGGATTCTTTGAAATAGTAGACAATTTTGCTGTAAGCAGTGGAAAGCAAAGTAGGTGGACCCACTGCTGCCTGAATATGCCAGGAGACAAGTGTATAGAACCATGGTTTCTCTAGGATTTAAGATACCAGAAGAATATCTTACCTGCCACACCTGATATGGCCTTTTTTTCGGAGAGAACTATGTGCTATTTCTTCAGTGCTTCCCCACTACCTTTTCCACAGTTATACTGACTCCATCCTGATATTGTTTCATGAAAACACTTATCCCTTCTCCCAACTCTTTTTCTAGTGAAGTATAAGTTGTATTTCTGTTTTTAAGGCACTTAAGCTTTGCACTTAAACCTGTGTTGCATTTGAAAAGCACAAGACTCTTCTCTCCTTGTGAAAGCCCTTTCGCCTCTGATCACATCACTTAAGTGGAGTAAAAGCTCTTGTCTGGTATAAAAGCTAATTTTACTTCACTGATGATGACAAGCACCATATTTACAGTGGTTTGATTATTGCATGACATAATTCTAGGACAGCTTAAAAATATATTAGTGTAGGTGTAGGCTGATGTTAGGTGTGGGAGGTCAGACCCGAGGAGTGGGTGGCATGCCTGAATTTTTTTGTTATGATTCCATCATTTAAAAGCAGAACATCTCCAGCACCTCCTTCCACATTCTTGCCTATCCAGTGCTTCCTATGATGGACAAGTTTCTTCTTTCCACTTCATATTTTCTTTGGAGTGACTGATTTTGTATATTTTGCCAGGGCCAAAATATAGATTAAAGAAAGCTGGCAAAAGACAGACATGGATGTTGTGTATAAATTCTATATTTCTCTGAAGACTCACAGAATGGCTTGGATTGGAAAGGACCTAAAAGTTCATTTAATTCCAACCCCCCCTGCCCCTACCTTCCACTGGACCAGGTTGCTTAAAGCAGTATCAGCTAATGTGAAGTAGCAACCCTCTTCCAGTTTTATTCTGAGGGAACAGCAGAATATTGTTTTGGAGATTTCCTGTTTATTTTTATCTGGTTTTGCACTTTGTGGCTCGGGGACTTGAGAGAAGCATAAACAGATTCACGAGAGAAGAACAAAAAAAGTATTTCTGTTGCCCTGGGAGGATCCAAATTAAAATAGAATTTCAGAAATCTCAGGCAAAAAAAGCTGTACCTGATCCACCTGGGCATCCTATATCAGGATTCATACGGTTTTACATAAATCCTCCTTTTATAGTTTGGTTGCCTGGATTTTTGTGGGAAAAATAGTTTGGATTTACAACTCATTAAAAAGTTATGTGATGTTTCAATTTATTTTTTTAAGGAATGATGTAGAACAGATTGGCCTCTGCTGTACTTCTGCCTGTCTCACACACACACACAGAGACAAAGTCAGGTGTAGTGCTGCCCCTGAAAAAACCCTCCAGCTAAAGCCATGGAATTTGTCTTCGTTTAATTTGGATTCAAGATCAGGCTATGCCTGGGTCAAGAACAGAGGTTTACAAAAGCATTTCTTAAGTTTCCACTGAAATCTGGTGCAGACGTGACCAAGGCACTGGTGGCACTTGGAGTGAACAGTAATATTTCCAGTGGCTCTCTGAGGGAACACAAGTGTCCAGGGAAACCAATACAAATGTCCAAAGAAGTCCCACTACTTCATCATGGAATGAGCTTCTTCAGGCTAGTTTCATTTCCTGACTGATTTCCATGGAAGGAGGTTTTCTCCTACTTTAATAGGAGTTAATTTCCAAAATGCTTCCTTAATTTCCTCCTCCGCATTTACCTGAAGGACATTGACAAGGATCATGGAGTTTGTCACTCGACCATGCAGCTCCTGTTCTTTGGCAGCATAGGAAAGCTTAATGAGAGCCCAGGATACAATCCCAGGGTGCCAGTTGAAGAAGAGCTTGAAATCAAACCACCTTCCTATTCGAGGGTTAAAGCTAATGCCCAGCATGTATTGGAAAAGAAGTTGCCAGTGAATTTGCTGGAAAGCAGGAAAAAATAAAAAAGTACACGGTTATACACAAGTACAGGCAAGTACTATTCTGACGAGACATTTCAGATTAATTTGATGTAGTGACAATAAAAACCATAAACCCACATCAGGTTGTCCAAGACAACAGAAACTGACCCAACCCAAGCATTACATTAAGAGAGATAAATTCTAGAATTTCACAAGTGTCCTTCTTTACTCTTTGTTACACTTTTAAACAGTCTAACCATAACTTTATTTATAGGATGGAGGTGTCTGTGGCATTGAAGCTGCTGTCACATGTATGAAACACAGAGGATGGTGCTAATGCAGCAAAGAACCACAGTCAAATCTTAGCTTATAAATTTGTGCCAGTCATTCAATTTATAGGTCCAATTTTCATTTAACTATTTAAGAACTAGAATTCTCTCATTACTCAAAGTCACATACCAGTCTTTGGCACTGGTAGGAAAGATGTAGGCTTGAATCGTTGCAAACATGGAAATTGCAGGTTCCAGGATATTGGCACATCACAGCAGAGGAATCCAGTTGTCAAAAATTATGGTAGGGCAGAAGAAGTGAAAGTGATAGGCATTTACAAACCAAAGCACATGATCCCGCCACGGCCTCGCTCGGCTCTGGATGGGGAAGGAACGCGCCCACCCCCGGCCAGACACCCCGCGGGGGCCGCGCACCGGGGGTCCCTCACCGGGAGTCACTTACCTGGGGTCGCTCACCGACGGTCACTCATCAGCGGCCACTGACCGGGGGTGCCTACGGAGGGCCCCTTCCCCAGGACCGCGCACAGGGGGCCACTCGCCGGGTTCTCTCCCCCGGGATCGCGTACCGGGGCCACTGACCGGGGACCGCTGGCCGGGAGTCGCTCAGCGGCAGCGATCACGGCCGCCTCCGCCCGCGCCCGCTCCAACCCAAACCCCACCCACACTCCCACCCCCTTGGCCCCGCCCCCGCCCCGAACAATCCCCGCCTCGCCCCGCCCACTCCGCCTCCTCCCATTGGCTGCACGCGGTCAGCTGTGGGGCGAGGAGCGCGCGGGGCGGCTCCGGAACCTCGAACCCAGTGCGGGGAGCATTGGCTGGAACCTGCGAAGGGAATCCCGGGAATGTCGAGGCAGCGGTGGTGCCCAGCAGTCGTGGAGCGAGCGGCTGTTCCCGCGCGGGGAAGGGGCAGTGAGCGCGTGGCTGCGGCCGTCAGAACGTGCAGGGAAGCAGGCGCGCACAAGGCGCCGTTCGGCCTCCCGGCAGGAAGAATCCCTAAAAAGAGCAAAAGTGTTGAAAGAGAGGCAGCTGATCGCACAATCACAGAATAGGCTGAGTTGGAAGGGACCCACAAGAATCGTCGAGCCCAGGCCTTTGCCCTGCACAGCACCGACACCAAGAGTCACACCATGTGCCTTAACTCTCTCAGCTTTGGTGCAGTGACCACTGCCCTGGGGAGCCTGGTCCAGTGCCCAACCACCCTCTGAGAGAAGAACCTTTCCCAAATATCCAATCTAAACCCACGTGAAAAAACCCTGCTCGCCAAAAAAAAAAAAAAAAAAAAAAAAAAAAAAAAAGTATTTTCTTCCACCTCCTTCTTATTTAGTGGCTACATAACCATACTTCAGTGCCTTACTGACTCAAAACCGAAATACTTTAAGTCCTTCCCATATATGCTGGATTTTGTCTGGGAGGAATCTTCTTCCGTATTCAATTCTGGGAGTCGGAGTGGCAATTTCAGTGCAGGGGAACTGCAAAGCGAAGGCTTTTTCCTCAGGAAAGGAAGCCCTTTACCCTCGAGCTTTCTGGTGCAGTGTTTGGGTCAACCCGGAGACTGCGTAGCCAGGAAGGGCTGTTATTTGCTTGCAGCAGCCCTGAGCTGTATTTGCTACTCTGACTGCAGGAACTGAACATGGAAGAAGATGCCTCTCAGGCAAAAAGTGCCAGGACAGAAAGTTCTTGCTGCATAAAACCTGCCAAGAGTGGCAAAACACGTGCAGATGAGAGACGGAGATTAAGGGCTTTCTTCCCTCGGGAAAAGGGCTGTTTCCTTGCAGGAACACTGCCTTAAAATTGCCAGTCCAAGTCCCAGAATGGAATACAACTCCATATCCAGAGGAGCTTTCTCTCCTGCCACCTTTTGTCTGGTATTCCTTGATGGTATTCAATTCTGAGACTCAGACTGGCAAATACAAACTCGGGGCTCCTACAAAGCAAATAACAGCCCTTTTCCTGAGGGAAGAAAGGTCTTGCCATCGTGGTTTCTGTTGCAGTTGGTGGGTCAACCTGGGTACTCCAAAAGCAGCAAGAGCTTCCTCTCCTGGCACCTTTTGTCTCAGAGGAATCTTTGTCTATATTCAGTTTGGGGAGTTGGAGTGGCAGTTTCAAGGCAAGGGAACTGCAAGCGAACAAAAGGCTTTTTCCTTAGCAAATGAAGCCCTTACCTGTCGCAGCCTGGGGAAAGAATGGGTCTGACCACCAAGTTAGGGGGAAGCAAAAGGGTTGTTTAGTACAGGGTAGCACGGGCTTTTATAGGGTTCTGAGGGAAGGTGGGCGGGGCAAGGGAGGAGTATGCTAATTAGGGACATATAAGGAATATGGGATGGTGGGGACCATATATGGAAATGACCATAAGGGACATAACTGTATTAATAAGTATACAATAAATATAACATACAAGAAATATGAATACTAATAAACAAAGGTACACCGCAATGTAGCAACGGGGAAAAGGGGGTTAGCATAAGGTTCTGAACATAGAAACACTTTCATAAAATTGACAAAGAGGGGTACATTTCAAAGGGTGCAGAATACAGCAATATGAAACCTAAGATTCAACACAATTTTTCAGCTCCAGTTCTCCCAGGGAAGTTTGTGGAGAGAAATGCTGTAATTACACGGTCTTTACTGCCATCTAGCGTCCTTTTGTTTTCTTTCTTTCTTTTTGCACTAACAGTCCTTTGCAAGGTCTTGGAAGCACTCATCCAAGTGCACTGTTGTTGTATCTTCTTGCTTCTAATGAGTTGTTTCACAGCCTGAATGTTGGATGCTGACTGGTTAATACTCTGAAGCTTACAAATTCTGCAGGATTGGACAGGGGTGTCTCGGGGACAGTAGCTGCTGGGCCACCTGCTCCTGGGACTGCCTTACTGCAATGGTCTGGGCTCCTGCTCTCATTTCCAGCCTTTTCCTGACCATGTGCGTCCTCGGGGAGGAGCCGGCTCTGCGGTTCCCTGCCCCTGCCAGGGAGCAGGGAGAACTGTCCAGAAGGGCCCCTGTGTCTGACTCCAGCAGGTCTCCCAGAGGCTCTGGGAGAGGTGGAGTCTCTTGCCATAAGTAACTGGGGTGTCGAGATATTCCTTCTCCTGCTAGCCTACCATACGGCATCGGAAGAGAGTCCTGGAGTCGAGAACACCTGCTTTTTCTGTAGGAGAAAACCCTCAGCACGTTGGTGCTCCTCATCCTGCAGTAGTACTGCTGCAGCTTTCTGGAAGCCATGGACTGGGCACTGTTGTCTCGGGGATGGTAGCTGCTGGATCACCTGCTCCTGGGAATGCCTTACTGCAGAGGCCTTGGCTGCCACTCTTACTTGCAGCTTTTTCCTGGCCAATGTGCCTCCTCAGAGAAGAGCCAGCTCCTCTGAGAGCCACAACTCAAAGGCACCACAGACTCCTATCCATTGAGGGTCATCCTTCAGGATTCCATTGGGTTTTACAGACGTTTTGGGAAGCATGAAGGCTCTGACCAGAAAAACAAATTTTGTGGAGATATTCACCATTTCGGTCCTCCACAACCAGACAAATGAGCACCCTGGAGATGGGAACAGCAGTTTTGCTGCAGTAGGATACTTTCCAGTACCGTGGGGGAACTCAGCCCTTGGTGGCAGCAAATTCAGCTTGCCACTTGTTGGTGGGAATGTCTTCTTTGGAGCCTGGAAGAGGCTCATGGGTTCCAGACTTTCCCCTGCCAGGTGCATCCTCAGGAACGTATTTTGTGTTTTGCCGACACTTGCAGGTCAAATGGAGAAGGGATAGCAGACAGAGGAATGCCTTGGTAGCTTTGCCAGAGGCTCTGGGAGGGATGGGGTCTCTTGCCCAGAGAGAGAAGGCCAGAGCCTTCGTGCTTCTAAAAAACTCTGTAAAACCCAATGGAATCCTGAAGGATGACCCTCCATGGATAGCATTTTCTCCTACAGAAAAAGCAGATATTCTCTACTCCAGGTGTCTCTTCTGATCTAGTATGGCAGTAAGAGGAGAAGAAATATCTCGGTCCCCCGGTTACTTGTGACAAGAGACTCCATCTCTCTCACAGTGAGCACAACCGCTCCCTCCAGGACTGCTGGGCACCGCCGCTGCCTCGAGGACTCCTGGGATTCATTTTGCAGGTTCCAGCAAATGCTCCCCGCGTGGGTCTCAAGGCTCCGAAGCCGCCCCGCGCACTCCTCGCCCAACGACTGAGAGCGCACAGCCAATGGGAGCCTGTGCAATTGGTGAGCCACTCTTGGCACTCCATGAAAACATAGAGCTTCCTGTGCTGGAACCTTTTGTCTGGGAAGAATCTTCATTCTTACTCTTTTTGGCCGACACCCTGACCATTTCAGCATGGGGGTTCTGACACTAGACGAATGAAGTTCAAGCCAGGAAAAAAACCCCTTCCCCTCATTCTCTCCTTTGCAATTCGAGAGCCGCTCTTGGCACTCCATGCACACAGAGAACTTCCTGTGCTGGCATCTTTTGTCTGGGAGGAATCTTCATTCTTATGCAACTTTGAGACTCAGACCAACCATTTCAGCACGGGGGTTCTGACACCAAATAAATGAAGTTCCAGTCAGTAAACAAAAGCCCTCCCCCTACATCTCTCCTGTGCAGTTGATGAATTACTCTGGGGGAAGGACTTTTTTTCCTGACTGGAACTTCATTTGTTTGGTATGAGAAGAACCGGGCTGAAATGGTCACTCAAATGGACTAAAAAGCAAGATTACTCCCAGCAGAATGTTCCAGCACAGGAAGATCTATGTCTCCATGGAGTGCCCAGCGTGGCTCACCCATTGCAAACAAGAGATGGAGGGTATAGTCATTTTTTCTGGGCTGGAATTTCATTTGTATGGTGTCAGAACCCCTGCGCTGAAATGGTCAGTCTGAGTAGCCAGATGGATTAAGAATGAACATTCCTCCCAGACAAAAGATGACAGCACAGGAAACTCTATGAGTGCATTGAGAACCAAGAGATGCTCACAAATTCCACAAAGAAGATGGAGGGTAAGGCCTTTTATTTCCTGCCTGGAACTTCATTTGTTTGCTGTAAGAACCCCTGTGCTGAAATGGTAAATGTGAGTCCCGAAATGTACTAAGAAGGAGGATTCCTCCCAGACAATAGGTGCCAGGACAGGAAGCCCTATGTGTGCATGGAGTTGAAAGAGTGGCTCACCAATTCCACAGGAGAAATGGAGGATAAAGGCTTTTTTTCCTGGTTTAAACTGTATTTGTTTGGTGTCAGAACCCCCGCACAGAAATGACCCGTTTGAATCCCAAAATGGACTAAGAATGAAGATTCCTCCAAAACAAAATTGCCAGTACAGGAAGCTTTATGTGTGCATGGAGTGCCAAGATTGCCTCACCAATTGGAACGAAGAGATGGAGGGTTAGGGCTTTTTTCCAGGCTGGAAATTGATTTGTTTGGTGTCAGAACCCTCATGCTGAAATGAACACAACCAGA